TTGATAACATGTTTTATATTAGATTGATTTTGTATATTTATGATGAAATAAAAAATATTGGATGCATTTTAGCTGATATTTATACCCACTGAAAACGCATGACATTGATTTGCTGAAAGAGGATTCGGCAAACAGGCCTGGGACCTCAGCAGAGTGGGTGGAAATAGCGAGAGCTCTGCCAAATTTCTGGGAACTAACTACTAATTCAGATTCCGGACGTGAAATGACTTAACAAATTTTATTGGATAGTTATAATATTATGGTTGCCCAGTGACAGACGGATTGACGTGGTTTTGTTTCAGTTACGGTCCCGTCGTGGGCGCTTGTACTTAATCGTTTTCTGACACCTGAGAACGTAACGCAAACGAAATTAGAACAACACGTTACGTTCCCGTTACGTACGCAAATCTTAAACTCTCTACTGTGGGTGGTGGTAACTGTGAGTTTGTTCCAATGTGTGGTAGTCATAGCACCGGGCGCGTTTGTCGTGTCCAATCAGGATAATGATTACTTAATATGATCTTGATTGATCATGATTGACAATCACAAGAATCATGCCATGTATAAATATTCATGTCTTCAAAACAATTTGTAGTTTTCAGCTAGCGGCATGTAAATAGTAATTTCTCACTCATATTTTAGTCATTTTGTAAAATTTAATGAAAACGCAGGCATAAAACAAGCATGATTAAAAAAAATTATGTTTTTTTTTTAAATAATGACGTCAACCTAATCCAAATTATTGATTCATTCTGGAATGACCAAGAATTTACTAAACATCGTATTATATAGGAAGTCGTTGTGGGGTTAGTTTGTGGTTATGAACTAAAAACCCAAAGTGTGCACCACAATGATGAAAATACACATTTCCTATTGGACGTGCCCTTTAGTGGCGAAATGACGTCAAAAATGAGTAGTTTGATGTAAGCAATGTAGTTGAAACCACACGTTTTTCTCGTTCATTTGCGTCTCCGTCACAAAGCGCTTCGTTTATTGCAAAGATACATCGATGGTGTCCTTGGTAAACATTTGATCTTTCGCCCTCTATCACGAAAACGTTTCCTCTGTTTGTTTTTATTAGAAGAGCACAAGAAAGGTAAACCTAAAAGAAGCAGAACAACTTTCTCTAGTCGCCAACTACAAGAACTGGAGAGGGCGTTTCGTCGTACTCATTATCCCGACATGTTCACGCGTGAACGATTGGCTCGTCGGATTGGCTTACCGGAATCACGTGTACAGGTATGTTGCGCGCTGTAACCAATCACCGAGTGACTATGGCAGTTGAAACCCATCTCGACACGTGTTAGCGCTTGGCTCACCCTATCATCCTATAGATATAGTGACTATAAAATACAACCTTTTGTTTATGTCACATGAAACATCGCCACAAATAAGATATTTATCCATCAATGTACGGGCTCACAGCCCTGTGCGCATGGGTTAGGACATATACGAGGTTTGATATGTAATGAGCAAAATTCACCGAGCCAAATTTTGCTTACAACATCATGTATGGAATCCTATGGGCAAAAGGTTTGACCATTTAAAATTCATAGGGAGTCTTTTGCCCGTACACATGTATCCGGAAATTGTTGTTTGTTTCAATATAGCGTAATGTGTATTTCATTGGCAGGTCACTGACTCTTAAATATTATATTAAATAATAGTTCAATTTTCCTATCCACACTTATTTAATTCAAAGTGTGTGCCCTAATCTATTTCAAAGGTAAACTTTGTTCACCTAAGTATAAGATTTATTCCTTAATTGATTCTGCTCACTTGTAAAATTGTGCTGACCAATATTTGCACACTATTTATCTACCTCCCAGATACCCAGTGAATGATTCGAATTTAATATGATATTCTAAATTTCTCTTTGAGCCTTACCACACTTCCAATTTAATCACGTGACATGATAATAAGACAACCTCAAATATTCGATTCTTGTTGCAGGTTTGGTTCCAGAACCGTCGAGCAAAATGGCGAAAGAAGGAACAGCACTTCCACTATCTGCTCGAGTGTCAGGGGAAATCATACCCTTATTTACCAACAGGCTTGCATACACCTACTCTCATACCGGTATATAAGTACACCATTTATATATGTTATATTTAGCACTATCTCGTTAGTGGTCAGACTAAGATCGCTGAGTCGAGGTGGGGGGGGGGTTGTTTGGGTTGCCCTGTATAGTGTTTCGCTGACAGTTTCGCTGACTTAGCTACATCTAAATTAGCTCCAATGACACGTTCAGATAAAATAATGTCTTGCAGTATATAACACCTTATTTTAGTATAAGCACGATGCCACGTGACCTATTCACGTACTGCTTACGTTAAACTGCAAATTACATTGTTATAAAAATACACTGGGTGACTTGAACTATGTCATTTGTCACTCACATAGATGCTAAATTTATTTCTATTGGAGTAATTTGCATACTAGTAATTCGTTAGTTGTGTTATCCAACGGGACATCGGAAAGGCGCCAAGTACGCCATCTAGGGTCGTGGCAGGCAGGATATAACAATGTGTATGCACGAGAGTACAATGACTATGTAGTCTTCGCATGCATCCCGGTTTGCTCCATTGCCAGTCCCGTATACTGAATGTCATGAATTCAAATCCCACACAAAACGATATGAAATTTTCCTTGTCATTTATATAGAAAGTGCAATATGCCTTGATTTAGATCTTAAACAGAATGATTTTTTCATATTCTACTGAATATTTGTTACACTTTCATCTGAATGTGGCGGGTAGCTGCACTTCTGTATTAACCACGAAACATGTGTCTATTTCAATTGTACATTTCAGAGTGCGTCGTTTCTGCAGCCGCTTTACAGTCCCTTTCCGTTACTACCGCCCTCACCGGCTGTTCGTCCTTTCTTGTCGTGCTCCAACAGAGGGCGCCTATCTGCCGGAACAACTTACGAAAATCTGAATTCGATCCCGAACATTGACGATAACATGAACTGTGAGAACCCCTCCGAAGAATCAGAAAACACGGGGCACACCGTAACGCTTTCAATGATGATGGAAACAAAAGAAGTGTTATAAAATGTTGTGTATTTATTAAAAGTTCAATATGGACGAAAATATTTATTTTATAATATGGTATTTGATACGCACTCAGACAAGTAGATAAGCCTGAGATACGTCATAATGTAGACCAAATCTCACTACTGAAGAGTGAAATAATCACTTTGTTTACTATTAACGGATTTGATATTGCAGGAATATTAACTAGGTTTGGCTTCACTGATCTATTGTTTATTTCGTCATATTGTATTTGATACACACTCAGACAATTAGGGGATTAACAAAATATTACTAAGTCTGAGCATGGAAGGTGCTAACGTTAATACCTTTCCATGGTCTGAGATGCGCCATAATGTAGGCCACATCGCACTACTAAAGAGTGAAATATTCACTAGGTTTACTATTAACGGATTTGATATTGCAAGGACATTCACTAGGTTTGAATTCACTGATCTATTGTCTATTTCATCAGTTTCAGTTCATTTTTAGCTCTTTCTGTATCGGTATCGCTTGTGAATCAATGGCTCAAGTAAAGTAAATTTTGGTATTGCACGAGGTTTAAGCATAATACATATGTATTTTTAAGGTCTATGGTTTAAACCAGGAATTCATGAAAGAAAAATCACGTTATATGATATAAACAAATTGATTAAAATTAAGTCTTTTATATTATTATAAATTCTTGGCAACTAAATCGATATTTGTTGATCGATAAGTTGATTCAAATATAAACCAAACATTTTTATTTTGTTTATTATTGAAATATGTGTTTAATTATTATATATATATATTAGTTATAAAACAAAAAAATAAATGTAATTGAAAATATCGTAAACATAAAAATATATAAAATAAAACAAATAGAACTGCACAATACCTCAAAGTGTTTACACCAGTCGATCGGCTGCCTGTTTCGTTGTGAAATGTAATAGTACAACTTATTGTTTATTTACTTTACAGTGTCATGTGATGATATGCTTATTATTATTATTATTATTATTATTATTATTATTATTATTATTATTATTATTATTATTATTATTATT